ATTCGTATTTAGACGAGTTAGGAGGACAATGCAGGGATGTGTTCATTTGGTATGAACACTTGGTTTAATGTATTTTCCCTTGTTTTTTATTTGGAGCCTCTTAAGTGGTTGGTGATCGGGTAAGAGATCAAATGCTCTGCCGTAAATGTATGGTCTATAATATGTCACTGCCCAGACAATAGCTAGTAGTTATTTTTCTGTAGTGGAATAACTTCTTTCGTGTTTGTTAAGTGTTCGACTAGCATAGCTTATAGGACGACTGTCCTGGGTTAATACTGCGCCAAGTGCAAAGTCACTTGCATCAGTTTAAATACCAAATTTTTTGTTAAAGTCATGGATATTTCAATATTGGTGGGCTTACTAATAGATTTTTAAGTTTTTCAAAGGATGATATGTACTGAGGATCGCGAGTGTTTATTTTAATATCCTTTTTTAAATATTTTGTTAAACCATGTGCTACTTTAGCGTAATGTCTTACAAATTTTCTATAATAACCTGTTATACCTAGGAATGATTTAATTTGCTTCGATGTACTAGGCATCTTTAGTTTTTGTATGTTTTCAAATTTGCTTTAATTTGGTTGTATCCCTTCTGTTGTGACCTATAAATTCAGTTGTTTTCGCGAAAAATTTGCATTTATCTACCTGAATCTTTAAATTATGTTTTCTTAATGCTGAAAATATTTTGTTGATATTTTGGGTATGTTCTTCAATACTTGAACACTAAAAATTAAGATGTCTAAATAAACTACAAATATCTTGTTGATATATTCCCTAAGAACTGAATTCATTAAACGTTGGAAAGTTGCTGGTGCATTCTTTAGTCTGAAAGGCATTCTTATAAATTCAAAGTGTCCTTGGGGTGTAGAGGAAGCTGTTTTTGGTCTATCTTCTTCTTTTATTAATACTTGATGAAAGCCTTTTGCAAGATCTATTGTTGTAAAATACTGAGCTTTTCCAAGTTTGCTGAGTATTGTTTCTATATGGGGTATTGGAAATTTGTCATCTAYAGTGACTTCGTTTAGCTTCCTGTAGTCAATAACTGTTCTCCATTTTTTCTTCCTTGAATTGTCTTGGTTTTTCGATACAATTAAAAGAGGCGAGTTGTACGAGGAATTACTTTCTTTAATTATACCTTGGCGCAACATCTCGTTCATCTGTCAATAATTTCTTCTTCCTGAATATGGGGATATCTATAAATTTTATTATAAGTTGGTCTACTTATTTTTGTAACTGAATTTCATGAGTATGAGAAAGGTTTTTACCTTCTTGGAAAAATAAATAGCTATTTGCTTTTAGAATGTATTCTAATTTTTGCTTTTCTTCTTCATTCATGTCATTATTTGATAAGATATCTAGCAAGTTCTCTTTACATTCTGTAAGTATATTAATATCTTAGTAATTGTAATGGGTTTATAAATTTAATTTNTCATTATTTGATAAGATATCTAGCAAGTTCTCTTTACATTCTGTAAGTATATTAATATCTTAGTAATTGTAATGGGTTTATAAATTTAATTTTGTTGCCGTTTATTTCTACATACTCCTTTTCTAAATTAATTATTGCTTTAATAGGTTTTAAAATATTCTGTCCTATTATAGCATCAAAGTTATTATTTTTTATGTTGATTAGTTTCCAATGTACATAACTTTTTCATTGAATTCGTTTGGGGTTGGGGTGACTAACTCTTTATTTAGGGAAAAATTTTCCTTAATGGTGCTAAAGTGTATTGGTTTATCAAGCTCAATGCATTCATAATCTTTTAACACATTATATTTCAATAATGATGTTGTAGACCCTGTGTCAATAAGACATTTCATTTTTGAATTTTTTATGGTCACTTCTATTATCGGTAACGATTGTTTTGGGCTGACAACCGAAAATTAGCTTGTTTTTGAACGTGTTTTATTTCCATCGGTTCGGGGAGGTTTTGTCTCCTTTGGACTGAATTATATCTTCTAGCTTATTGAGAATTATTTTGCCTATTTTGTCCAAAGCTAAATTGCTCAGAATTATTTTGTCTACTTTGTCCAAAGTTAAATTTTTGATAATTGTCATTTTGGTTAGAATTGTTACGAAATTCTCTCTGCTGAGTTGGTCCAAATTTAATATTATTGGAATTTTGCATATACTGTTTATTATTGAAATTGCCAAAATTGTGAGCCAAAGGATTTCAATTTGAAAAATTTCTATTATGATTTCTTTGATAATTGTTTTGTCTTTTATCAAATTGTGTTAGCAAACCTGTCTCTTGAAAAACACTAAAAGCCTCTCCAATGGTGCTTATATTTCTACTAATCACTACACTGCTTAAGTTGGGGTGTATCCCATTTAAAAATGTCTTTAGAATTAAACTTTCGTTGTTAATTGGAGAAAATTCTATAGGGTTTATCCTATCGAATTCATGTTTTAAATTTAGTTTRTCTAAAATATCTTTTAAATTTTGAAAATATTGACTTACGTTATAGTTTTGTAGTACAATCGCCTGATTGTAAAGGGTGTGGTACGACTCCTTTACTCCAAAATTCTTTATGAGTTCTTCCCTCATTTGCTGCCATGTTGGTGTAGGTCCCAAAGGCCGGATGACACTTGCTGCTTCTCCTTTAATTTTTGTTTTGACGTGTCGCTGCGTTGCAAATTCCAACATTGATGGGTTGGGGTTGAATAAAGGAAGGGTCATCTCAACTTCACTGATGAACGATGATAAATCTCTGCCGCCAAAGTCCATGATTCTTGAAGCTTCCTTCAAAATTTGTGATCCTGTCATCTGAAGTGGTTGCTGCTCGCCTCGATTTATTGCTGATGTATCTTCTTTTAATACAACTGATCTTGTTGTTGTTGCTTTGTGCTCTTCGCTCTCTCTCTGCGTCTTCTGTGTGTGGGGCATTAATTTTTAATCCCACTTTTCCTGGTAATGTTGATGGGCGGAATGAAGCTATTCTTCGCCTTCACAAATTGTAATCCTCGGAGTCGCTCTCCGACGTTCCAGATAACTTGTGTAGAAACTTTAGTTTCTTAAACTTGGCTATCTGTGCCGATCGACTTATATATTTATATATATATAAGAGATCTTTAAARTGGGAGCTAATCTTAGGATTTGCTTCCCGTTGCTAAAGTTTACGAAACTTAAAAAACTTCAGTTTTTAGTATCGCTAAACTTTGCAGTTTGTTTTTACCGACTGCGCCAGTTTTAGTTGTTCGAGCGGAGGAATAAATAAAAATGCCGACGATGTTACTTCTGTGACATTATATTTTATTCTCTGTCTTTTTCAAATTATGTTCTGCTTATATAACTACTAAAGTGATTATAATTTTCTTAATCTATTTCTTTGTTTTTTTTTTTATTTTCTTATGAAATGCAATATTTCTTAAATGTAATCTTATTTTCTATTGAATGCAAACAAACATGATTGTGTGGTTTAACCGATAATGTCTGGGTTATCATTACAGTCAAACATAAGGACCAAAAAATTTTTGTATGCATTTGCATTATGTTCTTTATCTCTACTTGTTATCTTATTTTCTGTTTACTTGTTTTTTTTTTTTTAGTCTTTTATTTTGTCCAATTTACAATATTTAGTTGTGTGGTGTCTGGTTGGGATGATAGTGTACACATACATAACTCACACTCCGAAGTATAGTCGCAGCGGAAGAAAATCAGTCCTATTACTTTCCGGACAAAGATTGTACAATTATTTTTATTATCTTATCAGACTATGTGAAGTTCGCGAGTGTATTTGAGTAAATTTTAAAACTGAATAGGTAATTAGATTGCAGATGGACGGAGTCGGAGTTTTCCCACACCCAAAAAGCGTATTTAATCAAAAACGTAAGTATTCACAAATATCTACAAAATATGAACAAAACATATCGTATGCATGCATGTRTGTAGGTGTAATTACCACTGAATTATATTTTTGAATGTTTCTTAGCGTAGTATACATACTATAAGTTAACACGAAACATATTCATAATTATAGCTGACGCTAATATTTTAATAACAAATATAGCTGAGCTAATATTTCGCAATCAGAAATAAAGTTATAGCTGACAGTAATATTTTCGTCAACAACAGGAAGCGAACATCCGCCACGASCCGCAAAGGTGCAATTCCACRGAACTGCAAGTTACGGGACAGGTAGATTAAGGTTACTTTTAGCTTAAGAAAGAATATGTAAGTCAGTTGCAATTTAAAGTTTAATAAAGAAGGTCATATGGACCCAATTAAAATAAAACCACTTTTTTTCGGAGCTCTAGCAAAAAGCCCGATAACTTACACGTCTTCTTTTTCTTCTTTATTGGCGTAAGCACCCCTTACGCGATTATTGCCGGGTTTAAACAACACGCTAGCGGTTCTTTATTTTCGCTTTATGGCGCCAATTGGACATTCCGCCTGGCTTCCTTTTCCTCTGCATCTCCCGAAGGATAGTGCGCCGAATACTCTCATGTCTAGAGTGTTTTTATCCATTCGGACGGCATTACCTAGCCAGCGTAGCCGCTGTCTCATAATTCGCTGAACTATGTCAATGTCGTCGTCTTTCTCGTTCAGCTCATCGACTGCGGTATTTTCCAGTATTATTTCTTTCTCTCGAAAAATCGTAAAGCGGACTCATCACATGTTATCAATTCCATGTCTCTGCACTATAAATCAGGACGGGGATGTGTAGATTGTAGAATTTGGTCATTGATCGTCGAAAGAGGACTTTACTTCTCAATTGCCTACGCAGTCCGAACTAGAACCTGTTGACAAGAGATATTATGCGATAGATTTCGAGGCTGAAGTTGTTGTTGTTGTTAATGCTGGTTCACAGATAAACCAAGTTATCTACGACTTCGAAGTTATGACTGCCAACAGTGTCGTGAATGCCTAGTCGCGAGTGCGACGACTGTTTGTTAGATGCTAGGTAGTATTTCGTCTTGCTCTCGTTCACTTCCAGCCCCATTTGCTTTCCTTTTGGGGAGAAGCCTTTTTTGTCCATGTTTTTGACATTGTGAAGGTGGAAGTGCTCATAGGCTCTTCAAGAGCGCATAGGAGACATCTTTAGTCACAACGTCCTTCTCTTCCTTCAGAACGTGGGCTCAAATCATCGATTTATTGAAGAACTTCGGTGTGATGCGGATTGTGGCCAAACGTTCGTTCATCGGTGTGAATGACGGGACTCGCGACGAATTTTCTCTGCCACCATGAATGCCACACCGAATTTGGGCCCGTTTATATGGCCACTGCAGTAAAACCACAAGGGCTGATCAACCGAGGCTGTTTTCTTCTTTGTCTCGGTATTGATATTTTACGTGGCGGATCCCAGACGTTTCCGTCCTCCAAAAAAGGTTTAGGGAATAAAATAATAATTTAAAATAAAAACAGTGTAGTTCATTATCGTTGTCATTTTGATTGTTTCCGAGTTGTAGTCGTTCTTAAATTCGTAATCTTGAAGTAAATCGTAACGCCAAAGAAAATTTATCGAAAATTTAAGCTAAACTTAAGAAAGTATGGTAATGTCCCATATCGTCATTGTATCTTACGTAGTTATTTGTTGTTTTGTAGAAAATAACTTAACCATTTTGTGAATTAAGTATGATAACAATTATAACTTGTTTTTTCTTAGCTTAGCTTAGTATATTTTTTATTTATTTATTTATTTTTTTTTTTTTGATAAATATGAAAAACGTTTTATATCTGTGAAAGTTTTTAATACAGTATGGATATTTACAACTATTCCCTTCAAAAATATCCAAATTTAGTCCAGGTGAGGAAAATTCTCTGATTGCCATTCACCTGGAAGTGACTAGAAAAGATCTTCTTGAACATGGCTCAAGCAGCTCACGTCTTGCGGTCCTGGACCAAGTATCCTCTGGGTAGCCAAAGGACGTCCGTTTGAAGTCGAGGTTAAGAAAGGAAGCGAAACATTCCCTCCACATTCACATTGTGCTCTCATAGGATAGGTCGTATTAGCTGATTCGGGGTGCTAATTTGTGGAATTCGGTGATTGCGCTAGTTATGTCGTCACATCAACCCCCACCAAAACCCAGAAGACACCAATAAAACAACAACAACAAATCATTTAACATTTCATTTCATTTTTAACATTTCCAGAAGATACCAGCAAAACAACAATAAATAATTTGCTTTATACCAATAAAACAAAAACAAGAAATCATTAAATTTATTTTCTTATTGTACTTTATTTTTTTTTTTTTTTATTGACATACATAATAAAATTTTCATTTGAATTAATTAACTAAAAGTGCTGACAAAATAATATCTTTGTTAATAATTAAATCCTTGGACCACACAAGGGGCCGTCTGTTCAAAAATTCGAAGGTATATCGGACGGAGAACAAATATCAAGAGCATATTGGTATAAGGCTACAAGGAAAATAAGTGGAAATACTCGAGAACCGTTGGAAAAAGGACCTAAATCCCTCATGCGTACAATTCTCATAGGGGCTCCGTAAGTAGTTATTGAATTACGAAAAAAAAAAAAAAATAATTTTTTTTTGAAGGAAAGTTAACATATGTACATATATATATTGCGAAAATAGATGAAATTAGAAAAAAAATTAAATAAAAATACATTAATTCAAAAGAAAGAATTTTCAACAAGTTATTTATAAGCACAAGTTATCATTAAAAAATTATAATCTTTACAACTTAAAAGAAAATATAACATACATTGTCAAAATAAATAAAATTTAAAAGGAAGAAGTGGAAAAGTGGAAAAGTTAAATAAAATATAAAATACATATATATAATAAAAAAAGTTAAATTGTTTTTGTGTAGGCATTATTTGATTCCAAATTCCTACCAATCGGAACCACATTATCTTATGTAAATAAAAGAAGTTATTATTTTTGATGAGTAGTAAATATAGATAATTTCCATATCCTAAAATTTTAAGATTTTTAAATCAAAAAGCCTCCCCATTATATCCGAGGACATTGCATTAAATTTTAATATGCTTCCAAATACAGAAGTTCCAAGTATATCAGGGACTCAAACGACAGCTAATAGTAACAACATGAATGTACTTTTCAATAACCGGTTTTTCTGTGCACTGCAATTTTTTTATATTTTCGCACGTACTCACCTTTTCGATCACCACAAGGTTTTGCCTTGTAAAAAGTAAAAAAAAATGGAAAAAATTAGTTTGCTTCACTGTGCATACGCGTGTATATATGTATATTGCGGTTTGATTTTGATTTGTGTACAATTTTAATATTCACTTTATAAAATACTTTAGTACAATTTTAATGTTCACTTTATAAAATAATTTAGTACACATTATTGTTCACTTTAGAAAATAATAATAATTAGCGGTTGATAATTCCGACACGGGATGAAAAATGAAGAAAAAGCTGGAGGAGCGAAAAAACGCCGTTCAAAATGTTCGTACAGGTCGCTGCTGAGATAGAGAACTTAAAACATAGAGAAAGTGCAAATTGAATTCTGTATGATGTTCGATTGGACGGCTAACAGAACTTATAAGATTGTGATACGGAATTTCACCATTCTCGCTGCTATTTAGCAGAATTGAGCACGTTCTCTGGCTCAAACGACTGAATTCATGCGAGAATGAATAAAGAGAAATACTTTGAAAAAAAACATACAAAAGAAAGAAACATTCTCTGCGTCACATATGCATGATTATTTTGTATCATATGAACCCTTTTTTTCAGAAAAATGGTAAAAATGTTAATTTTTTTAAAAAGTCGTGAAAAATTAAATACAAAATAATTTGATTTTATTTTTTAATTTTTTAATTATTTCAAAAAAGTTATATTTATTTTAAATATTACAAAAAGATGTGCCAAATGAACTGAAAAGTGGTCATATAAGCACGTCATTCCTTTCATTTCTTAAAAAAAAAACTGAATGACCTTCACATATGCATATTCCCATTATCTCTATATAATATCTACATTCGCACCAATTCTGTGGCATATGCACGCAAGCTATAGAAGCATAATACATATGTACATATGTAGACACTTACAAATATTCATATGCCTGTGAAAAAATTAGAGCTAATTGTAACAGTTTTCGCGCAGAGAAAGAAAAACTCGTGACCGATATTATTAACGCATTTATTCAGACTGTCGTTTTTGTCATAATCGTATGATCTAATGTACTGTTTTATAGTACATGGACAAGTTATGTATATATGTATAGTATAAGAGTAAAGGATTGGTTTGCAGAGTTGTATTTAGAATTCAACAAACGCCCCTTCAA